TATATATATATATAAAATTACGCCACTCTTGCTCTAAATTCATTATATTTTATTCACATATCATGTTATAATATATAACGTAATATATAATAAACGTAATAAACGTAATAAACATTAATGTAGTTTTATATAATAATTATGGATGAGTTAGTATTTTGAAAAAAATAATTTCTTTTCATTATTTTACATTGATTTATCTCGTATCGTCTTACATTGAAAGAATCGATATGCAAGAAAGAAACTTCTTGATTCCTTTTCCTGCGATAATTTAATTATAGAATGCAGTGCAATGCATTGCAATTTTGTATGACTAATATCGTGCCAAATACAGACCCGAACGCAACAGCTCTTTAATATTCCAGTTATACATATGTAGTTATGATAAGTGCAGAAATTTGTAATCATTATACCAATTTCGTTGTCCGTTATAGATATAGGTGTATATAAGTGCTTTTGTAATCACTGCAAAGTAACGATGATGTAAACAATTCTAATGAATTGCTACGCTTTACATTATTTTATTAAAAATAATATAGGTCTATAGATAAAGAAAAGGATAATTCACGATATTTTCTTTCTTTCATATACTCGAAAATGTCTGTCAAATAGAATCAAAATAAGATCTTGCGGATTTTGAAACACCACATCCCGACCTACTTTTTGTGGTTACATATCGCATCCGCCGCGACGCGAACTCTTTACACAAACTCTTTCTGACTTAATTTACATTGAAAATCATTTCTGGAAATCCGTTCTTTCTTATACTAGTTATGCATTGGAAAGATAACTAGTTTATAATGATATTGGAAGAATTTAAAACTCATCATAACTGAAAGTCTAATTATCGATTATAATTTCTGTACTGCAGTACGTAAATGCTTAAAATAATAGGCTTGCTTATCGTCGTTGATAACGAATGATGTGTACATGTTCACATGTCTTGTTATAAAGTACTTTTTCACGAGAAAAAAATTGTCAAACCTCTGATTTTTTTATGTTATACGATATAATTATTATAATTACATTATAAAAAAGAAATTTAAAGACATCATCTTTATGCAAAAACTAATTGATGCATAAACATAATAGAATAAATTGACATTAAAAAAAATCGAAAATTGAACTTTACATACGTGTATTTATATTATTTTTGATTATATTCTGAAACATTTTTTAATCGACAAAATAGTTATTCGTGTACAGTGCTGATTATTCTTTTAACGACGATTAACTCATTTCTAAAAATCGATGAACAATCAATCATTAGGATACGCAAGGCCCTTGAAAACCGTACTAACATGGAGGACGACCGAGTATCCTTGTTGGAGCAGCAGCTAGCACAGGCTAAACTGATCGCAGAAGAGGCGGATAAGAAATACGAGGAGGTGGGTCATCAGCGAACAAAGAACGAAAAAAATGAGGGCAAACGGACCCTTTATTTCTCTTTGTTAGAGACGAATTACCAATCGTTTAGGACGTTAAGACGATGACATCAATTTATAAATAAAAAAGAAATATTTACCTACATTTACTGGAACATTTTCATGGAAGGAATAGCGAATTAATTTCTGAAGAAGCAGAATTTCACTTCTAATACATTAATAATCTCGTATAAAGCTAGAAAGGATCGTCCAGGTCGGTTGGTAGTTCTCCTCTGGAATTATCTTTCAGGTAAATTTCACAGGTAGACGCATCATTGTGAGCTGAGCTGAGCAGAGATGTTTCTCGACATCAGAAACCTATTTCTTAACTTAGTCCATTTGTCTAATCGATATTTTAACCGTAAATTCTTTCGTTCGACATGTGTCCACCTTAAAGCGCCCGCAAGATTCTCGAGAATCGCAGCTTGGCGGATGAAGAGCGTATGGATGCCCTTGAGAATCAGCTGAAGGAAGCCAGGTTCCTCGCCGAAGAAGCCGACAAGAAATACGATGAGGTTCGCGCGCCCGCGACTACCACTGTCAAGCGTGTTGGATGCAGTGACGATGATAATCATGACGATGATGGTTCCTAGTCGATAGTCAAAATAGTGCCTAACCCCGTAACTCTCTGTCTTCTCTTTGTGTGCTCGAAAACACCGTGTTTCGATACATCTCCGTCGCGAATAAAGAGAAAGTGCCTCGCCCGAGGTATATTTCGTTCACTAAAATCATCAATTGATTGTTGCGATCATGTTAAAAAAACGAGGCGATTTTTGCGCGTTGCAAAGCGAAAATTTTCGTTAATCATAAAAAAGGCGAGAAGGTGAGAATCCTTCGCGCAGTGAAATCTTGAGAAGGGCAAATCGTGAATCGTCGATCTGTGTTCGCGATCTGGGCCGAATGAAAGTGGAAATTTTTTTTTCGTCTTTTAGAAGAGTATTGCGTATTCGCGACAAGTGCAGTGTTCTAAAGATCGTTCTTTTCATTTTGTTAGATAGCATAGAGAGAATTTTAGAAATATAGGAGTCACGTGGGAAGAAACGGAGGAAGAGAGAGAGAAAGAAAGAAAGAGAGAAAAAGTGATGATATATATGAGTGTTCACACGTGTTTTACGAGCGCGACTTACATAAAATCGGGTATCTGTGATTTCAAAGTGTTTCCGTTTCGACAAAAGCTACTACAAAATATCTCAAGTGCCAGTTTCATAAATAGAATTTAATCTTGTTATTGCTACATATATAATATTCCTGTTATTAGATACTTAGATTAGAGACGGCCGCGCGATCAAGTTCGGAGAAGTTCATATGCGCGCGTGTTTATAATTCAATTTCTTCAGCGGGTATTAAAGTCATCGTGGAAGTTTTGAGCCGCGATGCTCGGTTGGTGCTCGGTCTGTCGCTCACTTTCCCGTGAGACCGGCCTCATTATTAAATTTAATAAGAATATTGTCAATTGTGTTTGTGATAACGCCGCGTGAGACCGCGCGACTTTATTGCGGCTCTCCGCGCGTCAACGATTATAAATGGTGCTGCTTTTGTCAAGCTTGTCTTTCGGTAAGATGAGCGCGTTTTGCTTTGCTGGAATTCAGAATGCGATGCCCCAAAATAATGAGAGTTGTGATGATAGGCGTTTGCCGCGATAACGTTGAAATTACGGTGACACACACTTTGCTATTTGTTCGCTCAGAGATTACAGTATCAATCATCAGGATAAGATATCTTTCGAAATCTTTTTTCAGTCTTCTACATGATACGTGCAATATTACGGATTATTATTTGCGGTTGTGAACTGCCGGTTTTTTTATACGACGGTTTTTTTAATTTTACACACATTTTTTTATACACATATCTAAACTTTCTGTGACAGAATGTGTCATATTTATTTCTTCATGTTTTTGCAATATGAAGTCTGTTTTCTATGACTGAACTAGTACATTTTTGGAACTTAAAGTGAGATATTTGAGAAAGAATTCTAGTCTCTCAGGAATAAAAAAACAGACTCATTAATTACTTTTAATTAATTTGTAAAGAATTTGATTTATTTTTGTTAATAAGCACAGCTTATTTATTTTTATTAATATTTTATTATTATTTAATTTTTAAAAAGTCCTCGCAATCCTTTTTCTTGGAAATTATCATTAGAGAATTCATAATTTCTTGACATTTTTATTGAAACTTCTCGTAAACTCACTGTAATTTCAACCACTTTATCTTCTTCATTGATGATGTTCTATTCGATCTGTTAAATCGTCATTAATTAACAGTATGCACAAAAATTAATCGCGGTGTGCGAGAATTGATTTTGTCGTGTCGTTAAGCAAATCGTTCAATTTATTTCAGTAGATAGTGTTGCTTCCATACAATCGTCTGTTTTGACCTTTTAATTAACGATCTAACTGCCTAACCGTTACAGAAACTTACAGAGATGACGACAAATTCTAACAGCAACCAAGTGTGCCGATCTTCGTTAAACATCTTTTTTTTTTTTTTCATATATAAGACTTACAAACTTCATTCATTCCCAAAAACGTGTCGTAATTTTATCGTAAAATGGTTGGGACATTATGAAATTGGTAAAATTTGCTAAGATAGTTATAAGTTATCAACAGAAATTACACAACATAATTTTTCTCATAAATACCATTTATAAATACATTCATAAATACAATTTATAAAATCAAGACGCTCATTTTGCATCTTCTCAAGGAGCTGAATAAAATCTTTGTTTTCATTGCCTCAGAATCATGGATGTTACTTTTTATTGAGTTATTCGCAGAATTATGCTGACTATGAGAGATCAAATATAATATATAGATGCATAGACACAACGGATTCCATGTAAAAGAGTCTTTTATGCCGTGCTAACTGTAATAGAAAATTTTCAAAATGAAGAGATATGAACAAGGGAAAGCGGAAGTTGATAATCAAACCCGCGCGAATCGCAAATTTCTCAATTAAATTTCTACGAGCCATTTTACGATCGATTGCGCCACGTTATGCGGAAGTTGTGTTGCATGAATAAAAGATTGTCGTGGAATGGAATTACAGACATATCTGGTCATAATTGATACAAATCCATACTGAGAAAGAAATTGAAAATAGACAAACCACAGAAGATTCTGATTACATACATCAGTTTCGATTGTCTCAATTAGATTCTAGTAGATTTAAATAGAAAATCTTAATTCGTCCATTTTCAATCAGAATTTCAATTTATCCAACCAGACATTTTTCTCAATGCAGTCACAGTTAAAAGGCGTTTTTAAGAGTTCTATTTTACGACGATCTTTTTCCCTAGCGTGACCATACATTGCTGTTTTACATGCGCTTACAAGTCCATCAGGAGCTGCAATTTGCGTGACACGACTTGCGTGCTGCTATCTCTGATCGTTTGTTTTTCGACGATGTGGCCGAAGAATTGGAAGATGCTACCCATTTGCGAGTGTTCAGCAAGATTGCTCGGAGAAAATTGATGTTAATGCAACAGTTTAGTCTGTCGTTAACGACATGTTTTAATTTGAGTGCAAATTCGGAGATATCTTTAAAATGCAAAGTAGATATGTATTAAATTATGTAAAAAATGTTGCATTAATACAGTAAATTTTCTCGATCTACCAGTACTAAAAATACTTTTGACCGAAGTTGCTCATTTCTTTTTTTCATAAAACGAAAAATACTTTGCATAAACATAGGTTAAATGCAAATACCATCGCACGAATTTTGCGAGCTCGTCAGCAGACTTTGAGCACATAAAAAGAGAGAATTTCCGTGAATAATAATTCTTCCAATCACGGCTACGACGGCGATGACGAAGATGACAATGGCGACGACGAGACGCCATCCCGCCGCCTCCGGAATTTTCAGAGGCGGCGAGGTCGTCGAGGAAAAAGAGGAGGAGGGAGAGATAGAAAACAACATATGTTAGAAACCGTGTGTATGTCGTTTATACAGGTCGCCCGTAAATTGGCCATGGTTGAGGCCGATCTAGAACGCGCCGAGGAGCGTGCTGAGGCCGGAGAGTCGTAAGCATCGTTTTTATTAGGCATCTTTCGTCCGGCACCTTTTGCCCGAAGTGCGAACGATCCCATGGCATTTCTCTCCTCTCATCTCACCCAGCCGCCCCCTTTCTTTCCATTACGCATCCGTTGGATGCGCTTCAGCTCGCTCCTATAACTTTTGACAGCACCGTTAGCCCGCAATGTGTTCGTCGACAATGACGAAGAAGACAGAAATATCCTTTAACCACGCCCGTGCCCGTTTTGCACGATAACGATATGTTTTGTGATCGTATTTTACCATTTAAAAATGTTATGTATCAGTTAAGACTTTTTTCGTCATGGAAAGCCAGAATTACGAAATTTAATCTAATTAAATACCGTCTCATAGAAGTTTACTAAATAATATGTCGATACAGTAATAATGGCTTTCTACGACACCATCTGCGTCTAAGGGAAATAAATAAAAATTACATTGTCGAATTTTTTGATCTTATTAATCTTTTAATAGACGTATAGTGTCAAAATACATCCAAAATGATATATTGTATTATCTAATGAGTTGATTTTTAAAATAATTGCCTCAAAGAGTTACCTATGGACGTAGATGCGAATCCCATAATTATAATTAACGTTGTGGCACAGTGCATTCGCACTAATCTTTTAGCAGCCGAAAGGAACTTTGGAAACCAGGAAATATCAGATTTTTATGCGTCTCTGCATGTTAACACCTAATCTTTTTTTTTTGTTTTTTGTATTACTATTTCATGCCCACTTCCATCACCTTTGCTTTTGCGCATGACACGTGTGGCTGTTGATCACAGGTCGCCAGGAAACTAGTCTTGATGGAACAGGATCTCGAGCGCGCCGAAGAGAAGGCCGAACTTTCCGAATCGTAAGTGCAAGCTTATGCATGTGTTTATTAATCCGTTTTCCTCCATATGCAACACCTGCTATCATTTGTTCGTTATAATCATTCAGAAATTTAAATTACCGACGAACGTTTCAACACATAATTTTAAAATATAAAGATAATGACTTCTATATTACATTAATAAACTTCTATTATAGTACGAAAGATTTCTTATTAGTGCAGACTATTATGATAGAAACTTAATTGTTTTTCATGGTTTTTATACGGAGATAAATTTGTTTTATTACATAATTTGTATAACTTTTCATAACTTCGTATTATTTCTTCTCAAATGATTTAAAATTACATTTTAAAAATAAAAACTATTAAAAAATATTGAAAACGTTTGTCCGCAATTTTTGATATGTTTCTCTTATAATGGAAAAACAAATTGTGATATTAACGATTAATTAATTTTACAGAAAGATTGTCGAACTTGAAGAAGAATTGCGTGTCGTTGGCAATAATTTGAAGTCTCTCGAAGTCTCCGAGGAAAAGGTAAATGATTTATTTCATGCGCCATGTACAACGTAATCAGGATGGAACTTAATTCCGTAGATTATATCGCCTCCCCAATTCTCATTTTATATTATAATGATTTTCTTAATTATCAATTAATTCGCGTCTAAAATGTTGGAAAATATTATGGATAGAAAGTACACTGTGATGTACCGTTTTTATAACGCTCAATTTAATTTTAAATCATAAATTATGTCGATAAAAATATATCAATAAAAATACGTGCTAATAATTGGATTAAGCATTAATTTTATAATAGTTTTAAGCGTTCTAAAGTATCTTATAATCAATCTTATGATCAAGTATTTTATAATCCATATATTTTGGAGAAAATTATCGCGTTATACGTACAAGAAATAATATTTACGTAATTGTACGTAGGCCAATCAGCGCGAGGAGGAATACAAGAACCAAATTAAGACCCTTACTACCCGTCTAAAGGAGGTACACATCCTTTGGGAGTGTCTTGCTTTGCATTTTCTAACGTGTGATCCATCCTCGCGTCGTAGGTCTTGCCACTAAAATATTAACTCGCGTGCCCCTATCGTTTTGCTATCTGACCCCATTTTTTTTTAGAAGTAACTAAACAGTATTTCCTGCATTGCGGTGAACTAACGAAAGCTCGTTTTGTCTTTTTGTTGTGCTTGATTAAAAACAGGCGACGCAACGAGAGGAGACGTTCGAGGGCCAGGTGAAGATTCTTGATAGTCAATTGAAAGAGGTAAGTGAAAGCGAGAAAGATCAAGATTATCACAAATAAAAAACCCTTTAATATAATATATATCGGAAATTTCTACTTTCATTTTGATTATATTATTATTTTTTTATTAAAATATAAAATATTTAGATATTTTTAGAAATGGAATATTTAAATGTGATAAAAATAATCATGAAAATAATTTTAATTTGTGTACGCGAAGAATAAGAAAGGATTTACAAAAAGTACGCGTGAAACTTTCGAGATATAGAAATGTAAAGCTTCACAAATCGCATCAGATACGAAAAAAAACAAACGTATCAATAATAATCGTAAGTTTCTTTGCGAGTGAACCTATTATATCCGAAAAAGAAAGAGTAGAATATTGTTCTTAATAGCATATTAATTGTGTAATATAGAGTGTGTCGCAACTAAACCTTTCAAAGCTTAGATTCAGATTCAGCTTAGCGTAGTTGCAATCATGTGTGACGTGAAATTTGTTTTACTTGCATGGCGTGAGTTAAAGAAATTGATACCGATTATTTCAACGATTTCAAAAAAAGCAGTTATAAATCTTTGAATAATTATATTCCAATTTCATGCAATATATATAATTAAAATAAAAAACTTCTTTTTCTGTCTTTCTTTTTTTGAAATCGATGGATAATTTCGTTCAAAATATAATTTTCTGACTGACGAAGTATTGCGTTTGCGTAGGCTGAGGCACGCGCTGAGTTCGCAGAGAGATCCGTGCAGAAACTCCAGAAGGAAGTTGACAGGCTCGAAGGTGCGTATATGACAAAAAAAGAATATTAATTATTTTTATTCTCTTCAATAATACGATTTATCTGAATTCAACTAGATTTTTAAAATATATAAATACGTTGACATGTGTTAGATATATAAATAGATATCCTTTATATTTGTAATGTTATAATATGAATTGAATTTCTTAAACGGAAAGAGAGAAAGAATTCAGAAAATAGTTTTTATATAGAAGTTAGATATTCAGAATAACTAGAAAACATTTGTTATTCAAGTAGCTAAGAGTCTTAAAGAATCACAGCTCTGCATTTGAAGAGTTTGAAGTGTGAATCGATACCAGATGTTATAAACAAAGCAATATCAGAAATTATTACGAATTTGTAAATTTAATCTGTTTTTAAAGAGACTAGAGAAATTGATAAGAATGTTTCTATCCAGAAAATTCAAATCGAAACGGTTAAATCAAATTTTGAATTTATGATCAGTTTTTCCTAATTATACAAGGAATATAACGATTCGACAATTGTAAAGCAAACCCTACTTTTCCATGTGTGTATGTATGTGTGTGTGTGTGTGCGCCGTATTTTATTTGCGTATTTACCCTTCTAACCGCCGAAACGCAGTATGCTCGCGTGTGGCTTGCCGTGTGTGTTACTTCCCTTTAACCAGTGATCTTTACAGACGACCTTGCGGCCGAGAGAGAGAAAAACAAATTGCTACAGGAGGAGATGGAGGCCACCCTGCATGACATCCAGAACATGTAGATTGTATTTTTCGCGGTGGACGAAAATGCATAAACGCGAAAACGTTTAGAAAGCGAGAGAACATCCGAGAGAGAGAGAAAAAGAGAGAGATTAAGAAAAAAGAAATCGAAAGAAAATAAATGCAAGTAGGTAGCAAAACGGCGGCAACGAGAAGTGAACGAGAAACAAATACGCCGTTACGGAGCGAGAGCTTCGTATGTGCACACCTAACATTAACGGATAAAAATGCAGTCTTTAGGCTAGCCTTATACCCTCCATTACGTCCATCCGCAGTGCGTATACGTACTATACATGCTTGTATGCGCTCGAGCATGTGTATCGTGTGCGTGTTGCGTGTCTATTTGTATGCGTGTGACGTAAGTTGCTGATGTAGGTTGAGAGGAAGAGAATAGAAAATGTGTGCATGTGTATATGTATATGAGAGGAAGAGTAAGGAAGATACAGAATGAAAGGATCAATATGACAGAGAGAGAGAGAGAGAGAGAGAGAGAGAGAGAGAGAGAGAGAATGTAAAAGATAGAAAGAACGAGGAAGAATAAATAATACGCGATAGACAGACGATAGGATAGTTCCATAATATGAAGTTAATTGAAATCTGATTTTTTTTAGCTTTAGATTTTAGCTTAGTCTGTCTTTAAATTTTAATTTAAAGAAAATGGAGGAATGACTGCGACCGGTTTGAGACGTCTTCGAATATGATGCGATTTAAATTCGTTATGAAAACGATTATACTGGCCGTGGGAGGAATACGTGAAGTATTAGACAGACGAATATGAGAAATGAAGACAAGACAAATAGGATTTATTTGTATCGAGAGAAATTTGATGAAAAATTTGAAACTAATTTTTTTGAGCGTATTAATTTTATACGTTAAAGATTTTAAATACAATCTATTATATAATTATAATATTGTATATTATATATACTTAATGTACATATATAATTATATAATAAACAGCGACTCGTCTGACACCTGTAGACAGGTTCTCCCCATTAAAGATAAACGATTGTTGAGTAACAATTATTAAATAACAAAATATTGTTGAATATCTTTTAGAAGTGACTTACAAAAATTTTATCTTTTAATTGATTCGACCAGTCCACCATTTCATCGAATATAGCGCGTGTTTCTCTCGGTACAAAATACGCGTAGCAGGATTGTATATAATGGAGGGAAATACGAGTGTTCATTTACTCTGCATCATTTTACATTCCGCATTCCACGCGGCTCAGCTCGCGCGAGAAGAAATTCGTCAGTTTCTTCTGTTAGCTTTACAGTGAGATTATTGTCGCGTCATCTTCTCATTGCCGCCGATGAAAGCAAAGACGACAATGATGCAATAACCATGCATTTAAGAGGATTCCACTGCCAAACCTTCCTATTAATTTTTCTAAAAATATATTTTCTAGTACGTTTTTGTCTTCGTTGTGCAATATTCAGTCAAACAGTTATAATTGTATTACAACGTAGTATTGCCATAATTCAAATTATTTTCTTTCTTCATAATAAAATAATCGGAAATTATCTGGCCTATGCAGATATATGTGTTGTACGTATGCAGAATGATTTATTTAATTTCGAGCCTATGAAAAATTGATTAACGCATAATACTTAAGATAACAAACAGGGAAGCAACTGACTACTTTGTCACGTCGCAGCGCAGCTTCCCGTGCTAGCTGAGTCATTTCGATATTTTTTTACCGATCGTGCCTGTATATATTTACGATATAAATACTAACCACGGCCAACGTCAAACCTCAATGCAGGGAACGTGCTTCGTTTCGAACGTAACAGCGAAGAGATTGGAAATAATAATCGATCGTCGAAATAATGCATATCCGATATTCCACTTCGCGGCGCATGGTTCGCCTCGAATTATTATTATTATTATTATTACTATTACTATTAATTGATACAGTTTGTCGTTAATGTTATTGCTACTTTACGCTCACCATCGAGCATCGCTAATTCTATAGAGAAATTTCCTCTTTTTTTCTTTTCTACTGAAAAGCGTAATTTATGTCGCCTCGACCTCGATGCCGTAATCCGTCATGGTTATTCTTGTAGCACTTTTCCTGCAATATATTCTTGGATGGCTTTTTGATGTGGAAATGTGCATCGTCCTCTTCCCGTTTCAATATATAAATGCATGTATTACCATCGCTAGCATGATCATTGAACGATCATGAAGATAGTAGAATAAATCGAATATTCGTTTCGGGATTGACTCCTGAAAACAATAGAAATATTTTACCTTTCATATTATGGAAGATACTTTAAATTTAATAATTTAGCTTGATTTGTATTGTATAAATCGGTATTTTGTTGATGTAGTATTAATATAATTACGTATTAATTATTACACAACTTCTAAATATAATCACGTATGATTAATTAGATTGATCTAATAATATTTCTTCAGAAATTTGAACTATTTTGAATTGTCTCGTAAGTATGTCTCTATTTATATATACGAAGATGACAATGAACTAATCCAAAATACAGTAGCTTATGCGATATCGAAAGGCCATCCAGAAACATCGCGATCGTTTGTTCTCCAAGTTAACGTCGCCATGAGCAAACGTTATTAAAAACCAGCAATAATGCGAAAAGCACAACTATGAGACCTACATGTTCTATCGTTGATTTTTGTTAGCCACAATTTTTTTTCTTTCTGAATAATGCTAAAATTACGAAAACGCAGATACTTGAGTTTAAGAGAATTTTAGTTTATTAATTTACTTAATATTAATAAAGTAAATGGAACGATAATAACACTAATATCATTGTAATAATAATTGATTATTATATATTGCTATTATTATAAAACTGTTTATAATATATATTTTAATTTTGAAAAAAGAGTGTGTCGTTTGTTTTTCGTTGTGTCGTTGTTCTTTTTTTTTTTTTTTTTTTTACCTGCGCTAACATTAATCCTCCACCGTTAACATAATGACGTAAACTTCCACGCGATAACGCTGTGTGGTCGCCTTGTTGTTAGACAATCTCGTAACAAAATTGCATGATGAAGGAAGAAAATGGTACGTATACTTTATTTACGGTGAGTAAATTTGCTTAATTCAATTTTGCTATATTAATGCATGACAAATTTCCCTACTTATAATATCAAAACTTCACGATTGTCTTTTATCATAAAGTAAATATTATTTTATAGATAGACCTTTTCAATTATTTGAGTAATTTACTGATAACATTTTTTCGATATATGTATAGCATAATCGTTGATTATATTAATGATTTTACATCGTAAAAAAACTATTTTCATGATTAATATATTTAATTATTGAAATATGTTTCGTTAGGAAAATGTATGAAAAAAACTATTATTATAGAGTTAAGAATAGCATAGATATAAATTAAGATACAAATTTCAATTATCTAAAAAAATTGTTATATCTGACAAAAGAAATTTAATGAACATCAGGGTCGTAGAAACAGTTGATGAATCTTATTTTTAGCTGTGTTAAGATTCACGTTATTTATTTTTAAATCCTTAAATTATTTAATCAATTTCAAATAAATTATTTTCACCATTATCCTACTTGGTTAATTCACTACCTCTAGCGGTATTAATTTTAACAATATTAAATACTTTCATCTCTTCAGCACTTTTTTCTCCAAATATTTTTCACGCTACGCAGTAAACGAAATCTCTAACTAAATAGCGGCTACCTATAACGTTGCGAATGCTTGCAGATGAGATGGTGATCGAAAAGGAGAAATTCAAGGAAGTCGGGGATGGCTTGGATAATGCGTTCTTCGAGCTCTATGGCGTGTAACGTGGCTACTAACCATCCTTCTAACGCTTCAATACAAAAAAAAAAGAAACAAAAAAGATACCTTTCTTACAAATCTAGCTTGCGCTTAATACATCTTTTGTAAGTTACCCATCTATGCTTTTTAATCCGCTCATTGCTAAAATCGCAGCTTCCCGACCTTATGAAAGAATTCCTCATCTTTCTAAAGTGCGAAAATTTCTATATACCTACCTTCTTTCACATTCGCTTAAAACTAAAAAATATTTCATGTACACTATTATATATATTGGTAAAGGATCGAAGATTCATGTGATATCTACGTCTTTTCAGTATCTCGTATCAAAGTTCATGCAAATCAATGCCCCTAATTCATACTGAACGTATCAAAGTACAATTGAATATACAGTAACTGTGTGAATACGTTCTAACGACGCTATGTTTTCTTGCAGATGAGCTCGTCCACGAGAAGGAGAAGTACAAATACATCTGCGACGACTTGGACCTCACTTTCACCGAATTGGTTGGTTAAATCTGGCTGTCAAATATCCGCATCCGCTATCGAATTATTTGGCCATAATTATCAACATTATACGCACAGTTCGATCGCGGTCGGGTCACAGCCATTCGACGCATATACTTTCGTAATAATAATCAATGTACTATAAATACGTTCCGCATTCAGAATATTCTTCTTTTTTTTTTTTATTTATCAACTATTCCACTTCTCCAGCTTTCGTCGATATATACAGCCGCTCTGTGTGAGCCGCGATTATTTATTTAATTATTTATTTCGAAAACACCGCTTAAATCAAAATTACAAGCGCAGTTCTAATTGCATTATGCTTCAGTAATTGAGCGTGCGGTAAGTAGAGCAAAAATAAAAGTACAGTAAATACTCGATGTATTGTATTATTAATAAAATATAATTGAAATGTGAAAGTATCTTGATGATCTTTTTATAACAGTTTGCGATTTAAAATTGTACAAGGCCACTTTTGTTTCTAATACAATACTTCTCTCTCAGAAATTAGAACAAATAAAACATCACATAGAATCTAATGTACTTTTTTCTTTCACACTTGAAACATATCCTGTTCCTTATTATATTATATATTTATCCGTATATAGACTTTGATCTTATTTATATACAGACTAATCCATTTTATCTTTTGAAGTGAATTTCTCAGGTTTTAATTAAGGATCAATCCAGCTAATTTTCCTTCATCCTATTCTCACTTTAATCTGCTTCACAGATATAATAATCATCTAAACTCAAAGTTTAGATAATCTTCATTACCCATGAAGATTATGTGCTCGTTATGTTCTCTCTCTCTTTCTCTCTTTCTCTTTCCAATTAAAAAAAATATTAAAATGTACACCCAATTAACCATCATACCGTCCACTAATACCACGTTCCCTCCCTTCTCGTTGCAGACGTACTGGTAAATGAGCGCTGTAAATACAAAGCAATCGCCGACGAGATGGATCAGACGTTCGCCGATCTTGCTGGATATTAGCAGGCAGGCTAAAATGCATACAACCGGGGATGTTACATGTGGGAAAAAGAAAAAAAAACGAGAGAAAAAAGAAACGATTCGTTTATGCTACGACAAAACGACACTGCCAGCACGCAGACCCTTCGCCACACACATCGTCTCGTCCGATTACATTAGCATTCTACACACTCGCTAGAGGAAAGTCGAGGACGAGGAGGATGAGATCGCTGACATTTAGCGTTAACCGCGCATGATTTAACCGTTAAGTTCGAATTTTTCGCTGAAGATACCGTCACGCGTTCTACATTCTTCCAACTCGATCGAAATCTACGTTTGAGCTCGTCCAGCATCTTTTGTAAAGTTTTACATAGAAATCGGGAAAGGAACCTTTTTGAACGGCGGTAAGATCGTATAAAAAAAAATTGTGCTTCTGAAGATTTTTTGGAAGCAAAAATATATACGTACTCTTCCAATACCTGGCATGATTCCCGTTCAATGATGACGACGATTTATTGCAACATTGATTCTGTTACCTGTGCTTGTATTATCCCTGCACAGCAAGGTGTCTTATCCCTTACGTCCAATAAATTTCATTATTTCCATCGAGATCTGTATTATTCCCTATAATTCGCATAGCTTCTGTAACGACATTGGTTACTAAGAAACTTCTTGCTTAAAAATTAATTATTTTCATTTTGCTAGCTCAATTGCACAATTTATGCAGGATACTAAAAGTCGCATTGTTTCATTAACCAAAAAAAAGTACGGGCCAAAAACGGTATTCGAAAGTTAAATTGTCCTCATTCGAAATCAAGTCCATATGGCCTTAAATATAACATCCTAATTCATGCGACAAATGTGTTCAAAACACTTTTATATAAGCAGGAAATAAAAATGAACTGTACAAATTCTTGATATAATTACAATAATTTGTATCTACCAACGGGCTTAAAAAAATTAATAATGTTGGAGTGATTAACATCAACAAAAAAACGACAAATTTCCTGCTTATAACATTTCTATTTCGTTTAAGAAGCAGCGCTAACATTCATCATTAACCATGAATCTTCTTTATATTTGCACATTCCACCATACGATTAGACAGTGCGGTCTAATTAATCAGGCTAACGCTTAAGTTTCTTTCCATTATATATTAAGAAATACCATATATTATCCTCATCTGTTCATGCTTCTATGTTGTATTGTGCAGTATTGTGTCAAAATATTGATTGAATTACCGATTGACTTGCTGAAATATCTCATTTTAACATAAGGAATGAGATATAGTGTTCATTATAGCATATAAAATTGCTTCTATGATATATTAGAAAAGTTTGCAAAGCAATCTGGGCTGGATTATGATGCGAAAGAAATGAAGTCTAATAAAGATAGAATGATATTACAAATAAAAAGGTACGCTTGAAATGATCGAATTGCGAGGTCGATCAAGTTCGATACATCTACGGCTTTTGGCAACATACCTAAATGCTGAAAATTGTATATCTTAGTCTTTAATCTTTTCCAAATGTTAATTCAACGGTTTGACGATCAAATATGATCACGCAAGTTATCGGGATTGACGATAAATCTTGTGATGGACCAAGCTCAGAGACTTTCAAACATGCACTCGATGCAAGCGATCTTGACTATCTTATGTGATAATTATCATTTTATTGTATTTATATTACTTTCAATAAATATGCATATTTTATATCTCTGCATACTAAAATGTTTTACTCGCTTTTGAAATTACGTCATATTAATATTTATTTTACTGTAATGTTATTTCATAGTTAATTCAATTCACGAGCATCTGTTACATGAATATTGATTACTTTACGACAATGCTGAATACTAATGGCGTCCGTGGAATTTGCAATATTTCTTCAAATAACAATTAAATTCTCTATCATCGTGATATTAAAACTTATCACGCAGTCGTGTTAAATATTTTAAGCAAAATATAAATATATCATATTAGAAAATTAAATGTAAAAACAGTTATTTGTTAAATTCTGAAGAAACAATACATAATATATTTAACTTAATGAAACGATACACATTATATAAATGAAAGGACTCCTTTTTTGTGAATATTTGTAAGTGAATATTTGTAATAATACAAGTTTATGATTAAACTGAGCACATGCGAATAAAAATAAATTACACAAACGGTGGTAAAAAATGATACAAGTCTTTGTGACTCGTTTCTTTAAGAATGAAAACTAGGAATTTTTCAGAATGAAGAAAGGAATTTCATCGATTAAAGAAAGTGCAATTACCAATAATGAACCATAGATTTACATAACATACATATTCATTATTTATGATTTGCTATGATAATATAATATTTGTCTAAACACAACGCTAACATATATTTCTGTATCTTGCAATTAAAATATGAAATCCTCTTATCAGCGATCTAATAATTACAAGAGTGCTACATAACATGTTTCCAAAAATATCCATTCTCTTCGTTCATAAAGGAGTTCAAACGACATCACGTGTAACTCACAGATAACACTTATATAACTTTTACATGGTTCATTAATCTGTACAGTTCCATCGGACATCGTTCCATAATATAATCTGCCTATTCAGGTAAATGAGATGTACATACATTTCTGAGGAACCAGTTTGACATTTATAATTTAAAAATATAATAACAAGACACTAAAAAGCACTTCGTGATAGTAAACATTACATTCTATCAACGATCAATTTAATTTATTACTACACGATAACAAACAATGAACCAAAGTAAACAAATCTATTTTAAAAGATTTAATAGTCATGTTAGCCAACACGAATAATACTGCGCTTTTGAAATATGAATTTCACAAAAAGAGCTTGACATTAAAATAAACTAAATATCAAATAATTTTCTATCAAAAATTTTCATATTATTCGTGTAACCTCAGAATCGCCGAATAATAAAATAACTTACATCAACAACGTAAATGCAATTTGGAAATAAGAAATATGAAGCATATATTTATATATATATA